TCATAGATAGGACTAAATAAAATGTTTTTAATTGTGTACCAGTTTAATGTTGAATATTATTTATGATTTTAACTTTATACACAAGTGCCAAAATACTATAATTATGATCCACATCTTTATTTAGATCAAATATTTTTAATGCATTAGTCCTCTGTCTTTTTTTCTTTCATCTTTTTGACCATTTCTAGTGACTATTCACTTACTAAATTTTGTTTTTTCCTGAAATTTGGTCAAATATTTAATCATATTAGCAAATAGCTTTCGGTGCAGAAATAGATGATTTCGACGAACAGAAGGTCGTGGTTACTGGTCAGGCCATCACTTTCGTCAAATTTTGTGTCTTTGTAACTAAAACGTGGAGCGTTAGTCTAATGGATATAAAGTTTGGTTCTTGAGAATCCAACAATTCGTTCCAGAGTAAAGTCAAACCAAGTAGTCATCGATTAATCCGTTAATCGAATGCCAAACTCTCAACCCAATGTAATAGCTAAGAGCAAAAGCCTTATATATTGATTTTCAAGTTCATGTCGGCAAAGGTGAAGCATACGCTAATGGTCGATAATTTTTAATATAAGTACAAGGCTTAGAGATTTACGAGCTCTGATTGCTTTGTTCATTTTCGATTTCTCATAACTTCGTGTGGGTGTCTTGGGGGACATTTTATTTTTATTTGTTTTTTCGCTGGTTGTTTGTAGTGAGTAACGAACAGAAGATGTGTAAAACGCTTTACATTTATATATTTCAAACTGATTTATTAATACGTAAGACGCCCCCCCCCCAGTTACACAGCGGTATGTCTGCGGACTTACAACGCTAGAATCCGGGTTTCGATACCCGTGGTGGGCAGAGCACAGATAGACCATTGTGTTGCTTTGGGCTTAGCTACAAACAAACAAACAATAAGTAAGACATAAATATTTTAACTATTTTATCAATACAAAAGACCAATTACATTTTTATTGTTAATTTAAAACAGAGTTGTACAAGGGTTAGAATTAAAATGTAATATATCCTCTTTACATGGAAAAAAAATAAGGGTTTCGAAACTGAATAAAAATTAAATGGTTTTTTCCAAGCACCTCTGATATACACTGTTTATTTCGACAACCTAGTAAAGGTATAGTTTTTCATTTTCCTTAGAAATAATATCTTGTTTCTTTGTTGGAGATAAAAATTTCATCTGGTACAGTTGTATTTACAAATCGCATAATTATTAATTGGTTTTGTGGTTGTGATATTAAACAAAGTAAAGTACGTGTACTAAGAAAAGATCAGTTTTCGAGTGCTGTTTACTGAGTTCACCCTAGAAAAGCACCATTTCTAAAGGTTCGAGTTATTCTCCGATCTGAAAGTCAACGAGTTTATAAAACACCTTCAACTAACTTTATTCATCTGCTTGTTGAGCTGTAAAATGTCACTTCTTAGCGAATGTTTACTTTATCAGGTCTCGGGCACAATACTCTCCCTCATAAGAAAAGTAGATTACTGACTTGACGCAAAAAGGCGAGTTTCAGAAACTTAACCAGTACTACTATAGCAGATAAATCAATGGAATTCTATTTTAATCTCAGTATTATTTCTACTTGTCTTCTTCAGAGTGGAATATTTTATTGTAAATCAATAAGTTTTGCATCTGAATAAGTGAAAAGTTAAAATATTTATCCAACAAAGTTTCCAAACATTTTGGAAGCGTAATATATTTACTGAAGCTATCCGTAACCGAGTCATTTTAATAGGTTTACTGATGCATCCCAGTCTTTCATGATCTACTGCACCGGTTCATGATCCATCTTTTTACTTTTTCACCCTATTCGCTTCATACTCTGATTGCACTCTTTTTACCTTCTTTCAGTTTTTTTCCCTTAACTCGCTTCTATACTGCCACTTGATGTTTACTTTTATCAGCATTCAAAGTTTCGGGAACGGAAGGGTCTCTTATGGAAGGCAAGGCAGAATCATAATATTATATGTTTATATGAATACGTTAAAAAATACTTATTTTTAATTCATAGTATAATATGTGATCAAAACACTTGTGCATTAAATATTATTTCAGTGAATAAGATGATATATACACACATATTTTTTATTTAAAGACTTTTTAGGAATCGAACTCTGCTTACACTAATGGTAGGTCAAGGTCATGTTAGACTAAAATTATCGTAAGGTCAATCCTCTATGTGAGCCTAAGTCAAATCTCACAGATTATACACACTAAAAACTGACATATATATGTTTGTTTACCGAATTCCGTTCAGTGAATTGAATAATTGAATCCTAATCATAAATTCATGAAGCAAAAACATTACATTTATTTACATAATAACTCTACATTAGATGTAATAGTCTCTTAGAATTCACCATTTTTTTATTCAACAGAAATAATTAACATAGAAACCTTTGTTTATCTCCAAAGTTGGAACTGGTTCCGATGGCTGAATTGAAATTTATAACATAAAATAAATCCACGAGGATTTATATAACGTATCAGCTTTTATTGATAACTTAGCTAGAAAAGTATAAATTGAAATAGGCAAATTTACAGATATCTGTACTTTGAAAAATAAAAAAAATCAGTTCAGTTTTTAAGAACAACATCGTTTGGAATATAAAAAGATAATAATTCAGTTCGACAAGATATCAAGGTCAATAATTTAGTTTTCAGGATATTTGTAGTTTGAAAAAATAATAAGTGTATGATGATTGTCCAATGATGTTCTTTTAGTTACCTTGTGATTATGTATTGTTAGTGTTGTCTTTTAGTTACTTTGTGATTATGTATTGTTAGTGTTATCTTTTAGTTACTTTGTGATTATATATTATTAGTATTATATTTGTATTAATTTTGTGATTATATATAGTCAATGCTATCTTTTTTATTTATCTTATGAATATATATATTGTTAATGCTATTTTTTATTTATCTTGTGATTATATATATCGTTAATATTACCTTTTTAGATATTTTGTGATTATATATTGTCAATGCTATCTTTTTTATTTATCTTATGAATATATATATTGTTAATGCTATTTTTTATTTATCTTGTGATTATATATATCGTTAATATTACCTTTTTAGATATTTTGTGATTATATATTGTCAATGCTATCTTTTTTATTTATCTTATGAATATATATATTGTTAATGCTATTTTTTATTTATCTTGTGATTATATATATCGTTAATATTACCTTTTTA